AGTAATTCCGTTACCATGTAAATCACACAGTGAATGCATGGTAGACCAAAGAAGGTACTGCAAACAACTTATCTAGCCAGGACTGAAGTGCTTGAACCCGCTGATCATATGACAAAGATTTACTTCCATGTAGTCACCAACAATTTGAAATATTCATGTTCTTGTTCAATTAAAGTAGTTTTTTAGCAGGAATATCCTGAATTGTGGTTGTTTATCACACATTTATGTGACTTATTATGGTTCATTGTAAAGCCAGAAACATAGGAAGTGTTTACAATGTCCATTTCAGCCAACTTGATATTGAAAATGTGGCTCATTTTAGGAGAATTTCAGAAGGCGTAATTCCGTTACCATTTCGTAATTCCGTTACCGCTGTTTTTTTTGGAAAAAACACTGCCTGCACGATATTCATGAATACCGTACATAAGCCAAATTATAGCCACCACAGTCTAGTCAACACACGAGACTACAAATTTCATGGAAAACCTGTTGCCCTCCTATTATAGATTTCAGAAAACTCCATCTGAAAGTTGAGGTAAAAAGAAGACCCTATTTTCTGCCGTAATTCCGTTACCGACACTTTCTTGGTCACACTCCCTCCTGCATAAGGGATTTCTCTAAACTGTGTTTTTTTCCAAACAAGTGCCGCGGAGCGACAGCGCTCATCTAACGTCTACTGCGGTGACTCTGTGGTGCATGGAGTGGTGGGATTCTAGTAAACCCTGTTAGTCCCAAATGTGTTCACATACTCGCCGAAACAGTGAAAGGCACAGGGATGGTATCAGGAACCTTCTCAAAGAAATGTTCGTCGGGATCGTTATGAAAGTTGCCACGAGATGGCGCGTACGTTTGCTAGCGATCGCAAGAATTTCATGATTTCATTCGTGATTTTGCGTGACACAGCTCTGTTTCGAACTGAGACATAATATTTCTACAACAAGTGAACACTGTTCTTCAATTAGCAGCAAAGATCGGAAGGTTGATTATTTGTGTTGTAATCATTTGAAATGCAGCGAGCGACGAGCGAATTTCTGGCACACGCTTTCTTACCTGCTATATATATTTAACTGTCGCCGTGCACTGCACACGACCCGTATATATTTTATTGAAACGCTTCAAGTGCCTGTGCATATATCCAGGCATGTATAGATTCTACTAGCAAACCCGGCAGTCAAATTCTTTCTAACAGTAAACAAATCCATGTTTAACCCTCCTCTTGAGGGTCAAAAGGTTATCCGACACTTACACTTCGCATGTCAGCAGAAAGTACATTTCATGGTCCTTTCACTAAAGCCATAAAAATGCTAGGTCACCACTGAAACCAAAAAGTTTTTCAATCGCTCCGTCAGACCATGTCCTCAGAAAATGTCTAAAATCTGCCCTGTGCCCTATTGACCTTTGACCTGTGGCCTCCAATTTCGGCACAGTGATGGCTTTTCCTACCATGATGCTATACACCGACTATCACAAGCCTTGGTCGAGCCGTTTAGATTTGTGCCGCAATTCTGCATTTCCTCCCTATAGTTACGAGAGAATGTTGAGGGAATGTTCCCTTCTTTTACACCTCTTGACCTTTGAACTTTGACCCCCAGCTTCGACATCCCAACTCGTTTTCGGATTACCCCCCACGTCCCGAATATCGTGACCGTACGTCACGCGGTTAAGAACTGTTGACGGACGGACGGACGATCATGCGATTCTACAAGCTGCATCTGACTACGACAGATGAGCTAAAAAGCAGGGGTATCAGCAGAACTAATAAGGGTTTAGTTCATCAGTTCAGCTGTTGGACTAAGCCATGGCAGGTAAAACCAAGACAAAAATGTATCTGAATTGTAATTCCGTTACCGTGGAATTGCCCAGCTGTAGCGTGTTTATCATCAGCCCTGACAGATAGTGGGAGCTGCCGCGAGTGAACAGAGGGAGGCAAGGAGGGTATACCGCCAAAACCTGAATGGCAGTATCGGAGGCTTATCTAGGGTGGTGCTCATTAGCTGCTGATGCTGTCCTAGATCCCGCATTACCACAGGAAAGTGAGAAATTCGCGCGAAAGGCACGCCCAGTGCTGCTGGGATGGCAGCCCCACAGCAGCGACAGCCCATCAAACTTCTGTAGCACGGCGTAATAGTTCCGAAGACGTACGGCTGCTGCTGCTTCCTAGCAGGCGTGTGGGGGTGAAGATGGGCGATGATGGGTGTATGTGCGCGACTGCTAGCTCTACCACACCGCCCTGCCTGTGGCAGAATGCCCCAGTGTACGGCACGGTAGAGCCAGGCTAAGACGTACGGCTGCTTCTGCTGCTTAGCAGGCGTGTGGGGGTGATGATGGGCGATGACGGGTGTGTGTGCGCGACTGCTAGCTCTACCACCACACCGCCCTGCCTGTGGCAGCAAGCCTACAGCGGGCATGATAAAAACTACGCGCCCGTGTGTGGCATGCGTGCATGCATGTTCTCGGTTTCCCCGGTTCCTGCACGTTCCCTACGTATGTTCCATGCACGTTCCTCCTGTATGCTCCCGTGCTGCATATACACGGATGATGATGAGGATGCGTTCGTGTGGGGGGTACAAAGGGGCCACAGTGCATTAACTTGCATCGGCGCATCATACACCGGCCTTTACCTGAAAGCGGCGGCGGTGGCGGCGTCGTCACACGGACGTATAGTTATCTGTCGGCGCGTCCACAACTAGTTCTTTGCCGCACCGTCGGCAATTGGTCGCTAACGGGGTAACTGCATCTATAATACTCGAATTCTACCCATAAAAAGCGCATCTACGCGGACTCGCGCACGACTCCCCACGTCAGCATTCGCGTATATCGGGCAAAAAAGCGCGCGCGCGGGAGCCGACAGATGGAGTTCTCACTCTGAAAATAGTACGGCGCTTTTAACCACTAGTTTCGAAAAGGCAACTCTCCACTTTGCCGAGATTCGGATCTTTTTGCGGCGGGTAAAGAGGCGCGGTACGAACACGCCCATGAAACACACATGTAAGCAAATGTCAGCTTACGCGGGGCTCGCTACCAGCAATAAATAGATATTAGATATACGGTATCTAGGCTACATGAAGACACGCTGGTGCGTGCGCGCGTGCGTGCGTGCACGGAGCAACGATGCGCGCGATTCAGGCACTATAATGACCGTGGTAATTGATATCAAACGCCTAATTACAAAACGTCTGAATAGTCAAGATATGTTTTAAACGGCATTCATGTCAATGCGAAATCTGGAAAGAGGTTCCCGTTAGCGTATACTTATGTGCGCGTACACGTGCATGTGTCTGTATACTAGCACACATCCTCGCCCCCTTGCATCTCACCCTATTAAAATGAAAGTACCCATTCACTATGGCTTTGATCAAGCTCATAAATTATTTAGTAAACAGCACAAATCATCGAATAAAAAGACAAGCATTTAGCAGCCACACCCAGACAAGTTCATGTCTGCGTGCAGGTGGGCTTTAACTTGATACACACGGGCAGGCGTAGCCAATGTCACGAACTGGCATACCTACACGCGTGCGTCTATCACGTTTCTATTTCATTCCATGGACAAAACGATTTTGTATACTTGTAGACTAGTACTATAGTTGTAGTCAATTCTTGCATACAGCTGATTTGTCTGGCCACCCCGACGTGGGGTCTGAGTAATTATAAGCAGGCCGGTTATATATAATTACCTCTGAACCCATCTGCCCGATTTATACACGAGTAGCAAGCGACTGACATTTAGCATTATGTACACTAATAAACCTACTCATTATATAATTGCACTGGCTTATATAATTGTACTGTAGGGTGGGTTTGTTTGTCACTGCAGTGATACACACATTCATACACATATAATTCTCCATTATAAGCAGTGATAACGTCAGGAGTGAATAATAATAGACCTAATAATAATAATATCTATTATTATACACTCTTGAATCCTGATAGTATGCCTCTTTTGCCCTAGCAATCTACATCTCTATGTTATGCAATAGAACTCAGTGGTTTTGGCTACATTAAATATTCTTTTAAGAAGAGCATCTTAGCGATGGTCAATCACGAAATTATTAGGAGTAATTATTACGATTATTTATTCAGTACTATAGTCGGGGCTTCCGCTGGCACTTATCACCTTTGCAAAATGCGATAAATAAACATAAACAATGGTGGTGATATTGTTACATTTACCATCTACCAAATTACAGTTGCATCTATGCAACATAGTCCATCGGTCTAAGAAACGCGTGTTTTAGTTTTTTTATGAAAAGGATCTGGTTTTGAATTAGCACTTGATATATAAGGTGGGCACTAATAAGTAATAATAGTTTATCGTTGGTGGCTACAACATAACTTCTATGGTTCAAGTCTTGGCTAAACTTCGAAACACTTCAAGGTGGGAGTCCATATACTATCAGGGGTTAATATTGACATATAGACTATCATCATTATTAACTCCCTTATACTATCATCTATGAAGACTCCTCGCGAACATAATTTATTCAGAAATGACATTCCCATTAGCACGAATCTCCCTGATATCATATAGCTCTCAACTCAAACAATGTAACATTTGGTTATATTGGAATTTTTTAGAAATTAATTTTATAATGAATTATTGCAAAAAATTGGTTCACGGTGCTGCAAAGAAAGAAAATTAAGATCCATACACAATGCGCCAGCTTGGTTAAAACGTGCACATAACAACAACATAACAAACACAACAACAGCAGCAACAACAACAACAGCAACACACACAAAACACAACAAAAAACAACAACAACAACAACATAACAAACACACAACAACAACAAACACAACAACAAAAACAAATCAAACACACAGCAGCATAACAAAACAAAACAAACAAAAACATAAACACACAAAAGCGTAAAAACGCACAACAACAGCATAACAAACAAGCGACATCAAAACCATAGCCACCGTTCACCGCTGTAAACAAGAGACAGCGGCAAACGCGATGGCAAGAGCAAGGCAGCCCTCCGGCACCCTACCTGAGAGACCATTTCCGTTGACGCCCGTGAACGTGGCGAGGTAGTTGAGAGCGGCTAGATCGACATCCTCCTCGTAGCACACAAACTTGGGCAGCTGGCGCGTCTGCTTGTTTCTGTCCGTCACCTTGTGATCGACCAGCAGCAGGTCGTAATGTTTTGGCCGGAATTCGAGCGCGAAGCCGACCTGTGTGCTGATGCTGCGGCCGGGCCGCAGCACGACTATGCACACATCCATAATACGCGATGGAAACTTGAGCTATCTTGCGCAGTGTAGGCAGCACACATAGCATCCATGGGTGCACTTGCCCAAGTGTCGGTTACCTACAAAAATCACATTTGATATCAGCGCTGTACAGCGGGACGATTAATATATATTTATATTATAAATGTAAATAAATGCGCGGTCGTGCGTGCGTGGTGCGTGTCAGCAGTTTATTCAGAGCGAGTGGCACACGAAGAATTTACAAGTACTCATCGTATGCGTGCACACATGAATCCCTGGCAATGACAGAGCTAGTGGGTTGTTATTGCGAGGTTAGTCAATCTGAAGAATCACTTCAACTTTCTCTGTCATACACACACGCACATGGAGACCTTCCAAAAATCCACTACTGATACAACTCGTTGCTGTCCAAAATCTAGTTTAGAAGAGTGGATTATCATTTTGTGACTAAATGTCTATGAATTCTGGTTGGGTCTATACAGCTGCCACTTGGGCCACTTGAGAAATCGTATTACGTTGAAAGAACTATACACAATACTGTATATGACATATTCATCTTTGCACACACACACACACGCGCACACACGCACGCACGCACGCACGCACACACACACCCACACACGCGCGCGCACACGCACACACAGACACAACACACATACGCACGCACGTACTCACGCACACACACACGCACGCGCGCACGCACGTACCCACGCATACCTTTAATACTGTTAGTAGCTTTAAGGCATTTAAACACACAAATACGATGAATTTTTGTCCAGTAATCTTTCACACGCTGCAAAATTCCCAAGCCTGCGTTCTGTCGTAACGAGTTAGTGTGTGTGTGGGGAGGGGGGCATTAGTGACCTCGGGTTTCTTAGAAATCATTAATGGCGAGCAGTCAGTCTTCCTGTGCGGATGCAAGGTGAATCACAAATGCTACATGTGTGTCTAATAACATTTCAACTGAAGTTCCCCATCACCCTCCGCCCACTGGCACACTACTGTACAGCGCAACGATGATGCACGCGTATGAAATACCTACGCGCCTCAGTCATCAGCCGCTATGCAACTCACAACTGACTGCCCCTGAACCGTATAGGCTAAATACTAGGCGAGCGGGAAGGAAGTGATAAAAAAAACCGCAGAAAAACGTGCCCGTGCTATGTTCCTAACGCAGGAAACGTTGCCACCATGACTGTGTATCGAGTGTTACAAAGTGCCCGATATTTACACACCATATTATTATTTGGATAATATCAGGAGTAGATAATAGGGAATTTTCCCTATTATATCTACTCCTGATAATATCAGGAGTTAATGAGACAAACTTAATTGATGTTGAGGATGTTGAGGGTGTTTGTCTCATTAACTCCTGATAATATAGTATGGAAATGTAGAGACCTCACATCCTCATTTCTACACTATGTATCAATATCTATCTCTATATCAGGGCGGATCCAGAACCATGCAAAACAGGGTTCACCATGTTAACAGAGCTAGAGGGAGGATGTGGCTGCATTGTGAGCACGTATATGGGACCTGGCAGCCGCCCAACAACCATCTCAAGTCAGCGATCTTCTCACCAGCCACGCTCTCTTCAGCAGTGAATTCTAGATAAGACGATGATTAGGCAAGACGTAAAAAATGTGTAAGTGTTTTTTGCTGATGGGGGCAGATCCGGGAGGGAGAAGTCCACAGTGACAGTACAGCCGCTCAGTCTTTAGAAGTACAGCCGCGGAACGTATTATAATCTTTACACTATAATCTTAACAAGAGCTAATAATACAGTGTACCTTTAATATACCTAGGTATTATCTTGCTATTATTAGCTCTTGATCTTAACAATAACACTGGCAAGTGTCATTCTGACGAGCGCGTGAACTACGAAACTATTGTACTAACATATCATCACTATCATGCGTAAATCAACTAGGTGATAAAACTGATAATGCCCATCGTAAAATTAGATGACCTGATATTTCATATGCCTAAAATAGCGCATATACTAGAGCAATAATGGTTCCGGTGACCCTACGAATAAATACAACTTGAGAACTCGCTATTCAGAGCTGATAAGGAATGTATACACTAAGAATCTATAAGTGCCTGACAAACTGGCTCCCTATAGCTTCCGCCACGAACAAGTGCCACAAAGGTAACTGGTTGATACAATCAACGACTTATGGAGTCAATCTAGATACCACACACGCACGCACTCACGCACACACACACTTATTATGTATTATTATTATTATTATTATATATATATATATATATTATATGTATTATAAATCTATACTATAGTGTGACGCGTAAAATGCCACGCACAGTGATATCAGGAGTAGATAATAGAGACTCTATTATCTACTCCTGGTGATATCTTGTTTATCGTGACAATAGCAGCTAGAAATCACACGTATCAGTAGCCATGCAGACAGGCTGCGAGACTATAGCTTCAATGCACAATTATGGTCTTTCGATGTAAGACCGTTCATGGAGAAAACGTAGCATTAGCATGCACGAATATTTCAGAGAAATTTCACTACGCGTCTCTATTTGACGCCATACCGGAAAGGTCAAAACACGCAAGACTTACTTCATTTCAAAACCAAGCGTCCCCCCCCTCGTGATCACTCCCATACAAAGTAGATATAAGAAATCCTAAATGAGTGCTTTAACAGGCGTGGAATATATGCGACCACCCGAGTCAAATATCTATTTTTCCAATATCCGGCGGTTATACATCTAGGCATTTAGGAGATAATTTAACACATGACAGATTATGTAATACTGTCGGTTACGCCTTTCAATTTTACGATCTTAAAAGGTTCACTCGAGCTTAGAATACACAATTTTATTATATCCGATCTAAAAAATTCGTTATACTTAACAGCCACCCCCCTCTACAAATTGTTGTGGCACGAGTTTACAAATAAGTCATATTTCTCGCCTGCATTAGCTGTGATTGGCTGTCCAACTTACGCATAACAGAGTAAGAATGAGAAAAATAGAGCAACGAGAATGGGAAAGCATTCATTCTCAATCAGTCAGTAGGCACATTATCCGCGTTTACGATAAAGGAATTGATTGTTGCATCGCTGGCAACATTCATTTGTTCCTAAACCTATAATAATAAATTTGGGTATTAGAGACCAATAACAATTGCCGTAGACAGCTTCGTGTGGTCGTGATATACAGACAATCCTAGACCTACAAACAGTTACCTGAATTCTTAAAATAGAATTAATTCTCGCAGAATCACTGAGTGATAACAGAATCTCGAAACAATTTACGCAGTACTAGCTATGCTATGTAGTATAATCGGGCTACGAGACTAACGCAAATGCACACGGTCTTTCGATGTCTGACCATTTCTTGGCGCTATATGATATTAATAATTTGTTTAATTTGTGTTCAGAACACCAACAAACCCCATAGAAAATATATGACGCAGCCCCGTAAGCAAGGTTACCCTTGCTCTCACGGTTTATCACAGTTTATTATATCTAGTACTACGCAACATAACTTCTACACTATGCTAAGCTATGCTATGCCATGCCATGCCATACCATACCATATCATACGATACCACCAGGAATGTATAACATATCTATATTACATTGTTATATACAGACTACAGTATAATATATACATCTTAGATAGAATCTATATTATACACTCCTGATACCATACCATATCATACTATACTATATACCAGAATATACTATAGTATGTATATTTAACTAATAACTATAGTACATATAAATGGTACCAGGCTAATATTGCGATTAAAGAAGCATTACCTGCAAGAAAAACACGCAAGCTGACATTATGTATCAATACTCAGTATTTACACTGTATCATATGTTATACATTTACAACATGATAAGTTGTTAATAGCATTTTACGCTGGATTTAAATGTTGCTTCGAAATGTCACACACGCAATTCAAAGACAAAAAAACGTGCAAGCACCGCCACATGTGTACATACTGGCTCATCGATTCTTCACTAGTCGGTTAATTCGTCAAAGCGTGATCTCCTGCCACACGTGTAGATTTTACAAACGAACGGGCACGGCGAACGACGCCAAATAGACCTTCCCCGGGAGCAGCCGAGAATCTCGTATTTCATGTGACACTTGCCGGTATCTCCAACGGCCACGAGCCGGCGAATGCTATCGCCTGCGTGCTATTCGCCCTACAAAGAAGGCGCCTGTGTTGACCCACGTGCGCGCGTTCATCTAACGCTTGGAAGCACGCAGATGCCAGCGAAGGGGGGACGGGACTGCCAAGCGGCGGGCGGCGCACACAGCCAACCATCTGCCGAGCGCACGCAACCTGCCAGACGCTACGCGCTGGTGTTAAGTGGAGCCCCCACCCTGAATTCAAGCCGAAGCCAGCGAGCGCCTCGAGAGCAGACGCCCGTACGGAGATCACGCGTTAGACTGCCAACAAGCCACAAGGAAACTCCACGGGCAGCGAGCTGGCATGTCCGTAGCCAGAAGCAGTCTAAAGTGAAAGGATGCGCTGCGAACGCACGCGTTAATCACTGGGGTCATTCAGTCAGCGTTGATAATGTGCAATCTAGGTCTTGTTTGCGTATAACATCAAAATACGTGATGAATTTGTCGCAATTTACACGCACGCACGCACGCACGCACGCACACACACACACACACACACACACACACACACACACAGCCCGCACACACCCAAGCACGAACACGAAATCTTGCATTGCAAACGTACTACTCAATATTTTGTTTAAAAAACAACAACAAATGTACAGGCACCAACCATTCACGTGTGGTACAATTTACCAACTTCTTCCTGCCTGAAACTTATGTTATCGTATAAACAACATCTTTGGGAGAAATGTAAGACATCAGCAAACTGAATAAGAAATACTCATAGTCAAATTCCATAGACTCACTGCATATAAATTGTGCAGTACATATAACATGAACGCATGAAAAAATATTCTGTGCGTGTGCGAACGTTTACGATCTATGACCAACAGCAGTAATAAACGAGCTAGGGCGGGGCACTAGTAGGTTTTTCTGTACACAAAACTTCACAGTTCATCGATCACTCCTATCAGTCATTGGTCAGCGTTCAAACTAAGATAGCAATATACATACATACTCCATAACACAGGTTATGAGCAGCAGCAGCAGCAGCAGCAGCAACAGCAGCTACTGCGTACAGTGTGTACACACAGGGACAAAGTTCATTCATTGTCTCCACAACGCCTAGTTGCAACCACACCCAAAGCCCATATTTACATTCAAGGCAGGGCGTATACCTCAACAACGCGCGTTCTAATCTATATGATGTGCACTCGGTCTGCGTTGCTGCACGCGGATTGCCAGCAGAACGCAGCCGAGAATTTCCGATGGCCGACGCCGCGCGTGCAGAGCAATTCACAGCAAACAGGGGCATTAAAATATTATAGATAGCTAGCTGGGTGGACCACCTCAGCTAATTTTAAAACACACAAGTCAGTTTACCACAATTTCCGCTCGTATTTGCGGAGGTCTGGCTGACTCGCTATATATATATATATATATTATAACCAAGAGCTAATAATACCTATTATTAGCTCTTGATATAACGTATATATACAATATATATATCAAATATTGATCCACCCTTCAAAATATGCACAGTATATTCTATACCAAGCATTATAGTTTAGTTGGGTGGTTCAGAGGCTAGTGAACTGGGGTGATCCTCTCTTCACAAGGAAGGATACTTAAAGCAAAAAAAAACTTGCTGAGAAAAAAAGCCTGACACAGATAAAATGAATTGGCTGTGCTGAAGCAACCCCACACGACACGACACAAATCGCTCGCTTAGTTTTGTCCGATGAATGAACAGACAAAGATGCCGACCTGTGGCCGCGATAAGACAGACGGAGCTGTTAGACAAATATTAGCTCGGCGTATTTTCACTCGCCACTGGACTGTGGATCTGTCACATTCGGGCGTTCACAGCTGATATTTCTAAACAAAAAAACGCCCTTTTCCCAAACGAAACCCCAGGCAGGAACGAGAGCAAAACAACGTGGGTAATAATGTTAGATGGCAGAAAAAATATAGCAACGACCACCTCAGACCTTTTCGTTTTCCAGGATAGTTGTTCTCATAGTATTCCTAAATTATGCAACAATGCTTTCAAAACATAAGCTAATCGTATTATTTCCAAAAAATTCTGCTTGATTTATGACGCGCTCGAATTTCCTCCATCAATGCATATTTAAATAAGATCGCCATATGTATACACCAGGCAGTAAGGCACTTCTATACTTTAACTAACCTATCTTGTATTAATTAACAACTGCTTGACGAAACATACCATATTTTATGCTTAGCATAAAGCTAATCTTATATAGTTAGTAGCTACAAACGTGGGCTAAGCAACATATTTTCTTTCATCCATTTGACTACTGATAATTTTTTGCATGACGAAATTATGAAAATTCCACAAAATCTATAACCTGAATGATGTTATCTTAGAAAAGAATTACTGATAAAAGCAAGCATAGCAGGGAAATTGTTGCACCACAAAAGAGTAACTTTCGCTGCCTGTTCATACCAGCATTGCAGATGTTGCATCTATAGAAAGAAAGCTTACCCTTCTTCCACTAGACTAGCGAATTGCCTGCAGCAAAAGGGAGTCGCCGATAGTAGGCATTATTACACTACCTTGAAGAGGAACCCGATACATGTGTGCATGAACCGTGCTGCAACTAATTACAATGATGAACAGAAAGGAATTTTTACTTTTTGAATATCACAAGCTACAACAACCCCACTGTAATTTATAAGTAAGCATTTGTGGCCAATCGTTTTGGGCATTTCCGCAGAGTCAATAAAGACACCAGCAGGGAGCTCATTTTAAAATTTAAGAATATCACCTAGATCAGCTAGCTAAACTAGCAAATCATAAATTTGACCGAGTAAAAAAGTTATTGGCAAAGACATAGTCAGCTGCAATGAGCTTGAAACTAGTGCCATTGTATAGCAACCTTATGAAAATGTCAGCACACATTTTAATATGTATACTAACTTTTAATAGACTTGTGTCAGATTTCACTGCGGGTTGCCTTACAAGCCACATTATAAATATTAAAAACCAATATGGTCAGAATGCTACCAAAACTTGTTGCTCAATAATAGCAAATAATAGCAGCAGAACTCTGCGGCCAAACTGTACTATAAATGCAAAAATTGCAGAGATATTATAGGCTTATAGCTAGCGCTTTGAATGTATTTTTAATGGCCACACTGGCTGCAGTAGCACGACAATGTTACTCCAGTACAGTAATACCTCACGTTACAACAACGGGAGTGCATAAATTTGCACATACGTAATTTGAAAATGATGGCCATTTACTTGTGATACGAAACGAAAATTCGCTCTTACGTAATTTTTCAAAAGAATGGGTAGAAATTTTTTACTCAAAAAGTGGTACATGCTCGATTGCTATACAGTAACCTTATTTAAATGTAATAAATATGCAGCCAGCTGCCAACACAGGAGGCATCAACTCTGACACGTAACATACTGTTACCCTAATAGGCAGTTTGCTATATATACGTGCAATGTTTATAAAATGCACCTGTTCCTTCAATCATCCATCTCCCTGCATCCAGTATATGCCACAGGTATATATGTTACATAGATACATGTTCAAGAGCAGATCACAGCTGCTTCAAGGAGCTGTACAAAGGGAGTCCCCATCGGCAGCCGACATTAGATAATCTTTGGCCTGCAGGTAAGAGTCTAAAACACCCAAGCCCTACAATAATATTGATAACAAAAGCAAGCCAGCTGGTATCCTCTAGCCAGCAGTACTCCTCCCGCTCTCTCCCAGTAATTCGTATTACAAACTCCTCCCTCCCAGTCTTAGCATGGTACCTTGGTACATCATTGAATAATCAATATATACCAAAAATCTTGTTTTTTTGCATTCATAAAATTTTTGTTCTTCTACTTCATTAGTTATGTAAATAATTTTCCATAAGAAACCATATATCCAATTTTATAATAGAAGTCAATAGGAATACATGATTCATGTTACAGATTTTCTCATTATCAATGGTTTTTATAGAATGCCTTACCTTGTAATGTGCTGTATTACTGCATTTAACAGAAATTATTGTACATCCTATCAGGAGTGAATAATAGAGATTATTATATCTCTATTATTCACTCCTGATCCTATCATGCCAGTATACTATCAAGAGCGTATTAAGAAGCTTCTTAATACGCTCTTGATACTATGTACAGTGAATATTAATAGTGACCTTCCAATTAATAATAAGAAACATAATGAGTACTGTCAACATTACATTGTCATTAGGATGGAAATTATGGGTGATAATTTTGTACAGGTATGAGCTTGCGTGTAATAATGCATGACATAACATCATGTACCAAATTCACAGAGTTGCAATTTGTAAATAACAGAGGTGAGAGAATTATAACAAGTATATCAAGGTGTACCAAATTCCCATGCTCTATCCAATGGCAGATCTAGGGCGCTATCAGGTTCCCTGCTTCCATCCAAGAATCAATATCAGAAAAAGTGGGGAAAAATCCAAAGTAGTTATTTAAACATTTTAAACCTCCACCTTACTTGTTTCCCCCTCCCCCAAATTTAGTATTCGCTGGAGGCCAGTGAAGTCATCTGAAGCACTCAAATTTGTGACAGGACCCAAGTACCCACTCCCCCTTTTACCCATTCCAGCATCCGCCAATGAATCTAACCAAGCCATGAACTTAATCATGTGGTTGAACGTGGCATGTAACAGATACTTGTAAGCTGTAAGTAATAGCGATAAAAGTGCTAGCTCAACGAAAATGATTTCTTCGGACTAATTACTAATTACAGAGCCATATCTTTCATCACGACGCAATTTACGCATCACACATTCTCATCATGTTTACATTTGCTGTTGTGATGCTAGATGTACATTGAACGGGAGACTACTCACTGTAACCTGTGTGCATACAATGTACTCGAGAGTCATAATGGTACATGTACTACAAGTACAGGTATACCACCGACTTTTCGGCACTCTTGGTTCCAAATTCTTGCCGAATCAACAAAGGTCATGTAGTATATATTATAGTATAGTCAACAATACAATCTGGACCCACTAATTATACTCCTCCCATGTCTCTAAAGCATCATGGATGGCTAGAAACTTAAATTAAACAAATATTAAATGTACAGGTACAGGTATCAATCAACGTCAGGTCATGACCAAAATATTTACTGTAAACAAGTCTAGCATGTGCTACATACAACGCCACCTGTGGTCGCGTATTAAACTGGCCTGGCAGTCGTGTAAATTTCAAGTGCCCTTTTGTAATTTTGACCGGACTAAAATAGATGCTGGATCATCGACTGCTCGAAAATCGGTGGTGTATCTGTGCTACCATAAACATGTTAGCTCATCCTCAAGCCCAATTTGGGACCCTGATACGTAAATCAGTATCATCATCACCCCATCCGTAACCATAACCCACGATCCTAGCCCTAACCTAAACCTAATCCGGGTAGAGTCTTATATCCTGCACACAGCCTCCCTTCAACCTATACCACCTCCACATTCTACCTACACCACATTTACTACAGAAATGGATGAGCTCGCATTGCAAAGTAAAATAGTTGGATCAAAAATGTCTCAACTTGATATGTGGCAAACAGCTAGGATCACATCTCCCAAATCACATTTGGCACCGAAACACTCTCTGCAATTTGTGCATAGGTGTAAAATTATTGGGTAAAACACTAAAAATGCCAAGTCAATCCACTTTTTAAAACTTTATTTTACTGCCCTGCCAGTGCCACTTATATTTTTGGAGGTAATCAAGTGGTGTAGCTTATTAGGTAGATTGTGTGCAGGAACTAACACAATACCCCCTAAGCCTGACTTGATGACATAAGCCTATCACTCACCATCATTAAAATTCGGAGTCCTAAAGACTAAGTAAAGTAGGCTTGAACCGATGTGTTCATGGTATTGGTAGTCTATAGTTATTATTCCTACGCGTTGTGCTTCATAATTCATTACAACCGAATCCAAAATAAATCGTGCGCAATTACGTAAAATAAATAGTCATTGGGAGATAACGAAATCAAACATAACTTTAAAGTCATTAGTCACATATATTTAAGAACAGATTTTATCGATAAAAATATTGAAAAGAGCTTTCATACATACCTCCAGTTGACAAATCTTCTTTGCATTTGCGGCATGCCTCGCGAGATCTCACCTCAACAAACTAAACAACAGCACATTCATCGAAAGGTCAATTTTCGGTCACAATGCTCAAGCCCTCAAGTTAGCTGTACCATCTCAAATTATTTTGTCGTCATAAGATTCGACAGTCGTCAAAAGATTCGTCAAGGAAGAATCTGGAGGATATGTAATAAAACTAAAACTAATATGTAGCATGCTTCACTAACCAGTAAAAGCAGTGATACAATCAGAACGATTACCAGGACCGGAAACGGTAACGTAACGTCGTTAGCATGATAAACATGAATGATAAACACTAAAACTTTTAGTAAAACAGTCACAGTCACAGTGACAGTGTACGCGGTCTTCTTCTTCTCGCCCACTCTTCTTAATCTCGGGTCACTACACTACACTCGGCCCAGCCACTGCAGCACACAGGACTTGGCACGGTGGTTGAAAGCCTCAAGGTCTCCAGGGCTACATGGCGCTGGCAATAGACATAGTGTAAGCGGTAGGCCCGCTACACAGAATATGCGCATTTAACCACAAAATGACGAAATACAAATACATAGCTCTACTTACGTAGCCCGCGAACGTTTTTACCCATGTAGCCAGTAGCTATGCTATCCTCTAGCCCTTCATTCCGTCACAAGGTTGTAGTGTAGTGATTGAAGGGCTACAGCTGCGAAAGTATGTTCTGTTTCGAAATGTGCAAATACTGACGCTCATAGTCATAGTCATAGGGTCTATATGTCCTCCAGCGTACTGCCGGAACGTACCCTGGGTACGGTCCGGTATACCGGAACGTACCCTGGTAATTATTTGATATGGTTAGGGTTAGGGATTAGGCGTAGGCGACTCCCTAGACTCTAGTGGAGTAGGCGAGGTACGGTCCGGCATATTAGATAGTACCAGGGTACATTCCGGTATACCGGACCGTGCCCAGGGTACGTTCCGGCAGTACCCTGGGGGACATAGACCCTCTCAGCAATACTGACACTGTTTAGGCCCGCCTCATTATAAAGCACGATTGATAAAGCACGATTGATAAAGCACGATTGATAAAGCACGAAATAGTGGAAAATCGCATGTTACCATAAATCCTGTTCAGGTGGCTATAAATGTTACTTATCGTAGCTAAATGCCAAGGTTATGCTAGTATGTTCCTACACATTATGATGTTCAAATCCCTTACATGGAATATGTATAATGTAGTGATTGACCTGCCAGGGTGATTTGACATCTATACTAGGTGCACATGCAGGTGCCTGTGGGCTGTGGCGATAATGGATAAGCTTGGAGCAATGTGGTACCCCTACACATTACCATAAAAACTACATACAATACAATACAATAAAATACTATACAATACCATACAATACTATAATTAAAGATACCATAACATGCTTCTGATGGAGAAGAACTTGCAAGCTCATGTTGATATATCTTTTAGTGATGTACCGTCATAAAATAAATAAATAAATGAATATAATTTGCAGATAATATTACCAGCTGTGAAAATAAATCTGTAAACCTAAGAAAATGGCTAGAACATATTATAACATGGAAGTCACTTCTTAATTACTATATCAGGTGGCTACGGCAGGTGATGCTGTCGGTTGGTGCACAGGTGACATCACAGCGCTTCACAACAATTAACTCACAGCAATCACTACTAATTTGCTGGGCTGTTATGAAGTTAAAATGCACATTTTGTAGGTAGTTAATAACATGAACATCAGAAGTAGATAATAGGGAAGGAGTGTGACTTCAATAAACAAGGGAAATTTGTCATTTACTAGCCTTAGAATACCTACGAGTTACTATGCGTAACTCAACCAACTTGAGCTCAAATCGTGCACAGTACATTCGCCTAGCATCGTGCAAAATCGTTTCATCGTATACACCCGCAATCCGGAGATACAGACTAAAACGTAGGACACGATTTTCCATTATGTTGCCAGCAAACTGAATGTATAAACCACCTAACTTGAAGCAAAAGGCAGCTCTTGCGCACTCTTGCTCCCTCGGCGATGCGGTTTGGCTCGCTAGTAGCTGCTTTTTGTTTTAAGTTAGGCGGTTTATACATTCAGTTTGCTGGCAACATAATGGAAAATCGTGTCGTACGTTTTAGTCTGTATCTCCGGATTGCGGGTGTATACGAGGAAACGATTTCGCACGATGCTAGGCGAATGTACTGTGTACGATTTGAGCTCAAGTTGGTTGAGTTACGCATAGTAAATCATAGGTATTCTAAGGCTAGTAAATAACGAATTTTCCTTGTTTATTGAAGTCACACTCCTTTCCTATTATCTACTCCTGATGAACATGTATATTTAATACAGATATACATATTATATTCATGATAATAAAATCACAATCAACTTTGTATGAATGCGCCTACTATGTAGCTGCTGCTTTCCTGTTTTGTCTGGAAATATATGTATGAAAAAAATGTAAGAAATTGGAAAGCCTAAATTGCCTTTGCAAAAAACCATCTAGATATCGAATAAAAGATGTCTAGCATAATGCCCAGTAGGCGGTGCTAAAGATGCATGCTAAATTAGTATAATGTGGTCTGCATCCAATGCAATCTAAATTTGTGATTCTCCCATAGACTCAGAGAGAGAGAGAGAGAGAGAGTGAGATTCAGGAAAAAATAAAATAACTTAATTATTATGTATACAGTTCTATTAGTTGGGTAACATTTGCAATTTGTCTACAGGTATCAGCGATGAATTCATGCTAAACATGGGTACTCGGGCGTGGAGTGTTGCTAGCCTCGTGTACAATTTCGGTGAGCAGGCTGAATTAGACTATCGTGAGCACTCACCCATCGTCAGCAAGAAGCGCAGCAATTTGAGGGTGAACTCCCAATGCAGCACTCCCAGGTCAGAACTGATGGAGGAACCTCCACCAATGGCAGCAGTTCCAGTGCACGAGACGATAGCCAATATTTTCTGGCGGTCGAGCTTGAGCTTTCATGCATACATGCATGGTGACCCTCGAGTCTGCTTTCAGGATCTGTGGCCCAAAGGAAATAAGTTAACACCTCTGCTGCTAGAGTCTGTCTTTTCTACTGATCTGAGGCAGTCTGTGCTAGACCTTTGTCTACTAGTGCTGCGATGTGGACCAGTTGATGTTCTAAAGATACTAATTGATGGGAAGATTTTAGGTATGTATGTTAGACCGTTATATATGTAGTCTCAGTGTATTTGCTGTAGTCTCATGTATATGTATAGTTTACAACCCTAGTGTTTGCAGGTTGTTCGTTTTACTGCACAAGTAATACAATATCATAAATAGTGTCTGCTAGAAATGTACAAGGCTATAGATATAAGATTTGCAGAGTAGCTTTACATCACTTGAATTTTTGCAACATATTAGTACATAAGTTGGCAACTATAAGAGTGCTTATGGTCACACATTAGTCTTGTATTGTCAATAAGTTCCTTATGCTCACCTTTGGATGTGTGCAGTTGTACTCATTTGAACTGAATCATGCACGCGCACACACTATCACTTATATGCCATATAATATGTTTGTTTCAGATATTAATCAACGATTTTACAATGCGGTCAGCATGTTGCATGTGGCTTGCATATCCAGAAACCTCGATGCTGTTGTATTTCTCATGCAGAGAAAAATTTCTACAAAGTTGAATGACCGGTTAGGTAAGCCAAAATTAGTTGGTTCTATTCTTGTCAGTTCATACAGATTTGAATTAACAAATATAAATTTAAAAAATTTCATGCAGAGGCCCACATTGATCTGATGCAGAAAATGCTATGTACAAATATGCCTACTGCAAAATCAGTGTATCATAAGCTTATATATTATATATTAGCACAATATTACATCTGTGCTATAGCTGTCTGAAATAACTTGCCCTGTCTTGAAAATCTTTTCCATCTCGTAGGTTTATTAATGCACATAACCATTATTGATTTGTTAGGAAGGAAAGCTGAAGATGTGTGTTTTTGTCCTCGTGTTCGGAGGGCATTGCTGTATAAGTATGTGCTGAAGACACCACCAAAAGACAAGATCCAGCAGAAGTCCATTCCAAGCCTTCAAGAAAGGGATTCGTTGTTCAGTATGGCTGCCAAACCAGAATGCTGTGATGAGCTACTATATAGGCTGCAGGTAATACTGCTATATGGTATTAGAGCAACTCGTGTTGATTTACAAAATGTTGCAATGAGATATTGTTAGTATGGTTGGTTAATCTGTGTGCTGTCATGTCACTAAGAGGCTATTCATTTACTCCTGATGCTACCATGTTTATTCAGACATACAGTAGTAACATATATGTTGCGATTAGTATAAAAACCTCTAGTGGTAAAGGATTAGCTACATTATGATAACAGTAAGCAATTCCAAATTTTATAACTCAAGAGTAACTAGTGAAATCAGACTAATTTTTTTTGGTGCATGCTGTGTTTCAGATGTATGAGTTCAATATCAATTCAGAGAAAGACGGAGTAGGTGATTGTATGATACATACCATTACCAGGCAAGGTATGGGCGTTTAGAGATAAAAACATGTAAAATAATTATACAAAATATAAAGCTTTGCCTTTTCAAGCTTGAATGCAAGTTATGAATATAATATTGTTCAGGTGGCAGGTGCAAAAATAGTAAGTTTTATATTGATATTTGTTGCCATATAAGACAAGTGGTTAAAATTGTGTATGATCAGACAGCATCAGAGTAAATCAATATTCAAACTAATTGACTTGTCATGCTAAAGTAATGTAATACATAGTAACTATATATACTGGTCAGGTCTGGCACAGCTTGCTCTTCTTTTGAACTTGGTTGAGATGTTTGATGTGAACGTCGACATCTGTAACTCTGACGGACTGACTCCTGTTGCTATTGCTGCCTGTTCAGGTTAGTAGTGTACTTATCATTTACATAATTTTAACTTTTTAATCGTTTTACACTTTTCTAGCCAGCATCATAGTGTGTCAATAGTATGTTTTTGATTAGCGGAAACTTTGTGTAATGTGTGTTTAGTTATAAAGTAAATACTTAGTAAATACTATATGGCAAATTTAATTTTGTGTAGGTAAATGCTAATCTATGAAACGTTGGCACATTTGAGTGTGTATAGATTTATAGTTTAAGCTCCTATTGTAAGAAATAATCTAGCTATGCAGTTTGAGACGAATGATTCTGAGTTATTAACTGTTAAATCAGGTGACAGCATATTGGTCGACTTGTTGCTCTGTGTGTTCGGTGTGGATCCTAATAGATTCAATCCTCACAACAACTGGACAGCATTACACTATGCAGCTAGTATGAACCACGTAGATGTTACCAGGTAACTTTACACATTCATTAGTCATAACTGAAAATTAATGGGCTATATACAACAGTGTAATTATACTAATTAAAATATTGAAGTATTAAAATATGTAAACTCAATGCAAGTTTTTGTAACATGTAACATAATTTCATATTATCAAAAACATTGCATTGTGACAAAACCAAACTAAATCATTGCGTGTAATCAGTAGCTGATTGTACATAATAATAAATGATGTCTCCTCTCTAGCTGAAGTAACCACAGTCTGTTGTTAAGGAGACCTGTATGGTTACTGCTGCAGTGTGCTGCTGACTAGAGGAGCCGACGCAAACATCGAGGATGAGAACGGGGCCATGGCAGAAGACGTGGCTGCGAAGAGCCGGGCGTCGGACTCCAGAGAGCTCATCGAGTCTCACCGGCTGCATCGTGTGCAGAGCTTAATGCGCCTTGTCACACAGGTATGTGTGCGTGCGTGCGTGCACGTGTGCGTGCATGTGTGCGTGTGTGCTTGCGTGAGTGTGTGCTTGCATGAGTGTGTGCGTGCGTGCGTGTGTGCGTGCGTGCGTGTGTGCTTGCATGAGTGTGTGCGTGTATGTGTATGTGCGTGCGTGCGTGCGTGTGCGCGAGTGTGTGTGCGAGTGTGTGCGTGTGTGTACTTCTTCGATGACTACCCTCTAGCAATGATACCAAAGTAGTGACTTTGTATCCATGCTTTTATTGTAGGAAGATCTGAAGCCAGGAATTGTGAAAACAACAGATCTGTTTTCTGTGGACCAGCATGGTAGAACCCTAATTATGGTTGCAGTCATATTTAACAGGTAGTACAATAGTCATGTCGCTCACATCTGAATGCGCTTTACCAATCTATTGTTACACAATAAACTATTGTTGAACAGACATGACACTCCATGTGCCAATGGTGTCATATTAGTGTAAACTATAGTAAATTTGTACATATGCACAAAGTCAATGCTAGTTTATTATTTTATTTTTTTAAACTTGGTTTTTTCATTGTTGTACAAAACTACTATCCTTCACTAGGCCGCATGCGCACGTTCAAGTAAGTGTTAAATGAACTGTTTGTTTACATATTGTAAATTACCTTCATCACTTCACAAGGATAGTTTGTGCAAAACGTGGCCTTTTTGGAACATTTTGATATGGCAATCAAGAACTGGTAGTGTGTCTACGAACATTTATGACAGTTTTTCGTCAGGGAATGTAGTTTCAAGTCTGTTGTTACATGTTATGTGTCTGATGTAAGCAGTGATTCTCACTTGTTCCATGTGGCATTTGATGATTCTGTGGTTCATGTTAACATATTATAGGTGTGCCAACCTACGCATCCTGTTGGAGATGGACAACTGTCCGATTAATGCTCAACACCCAAAGACTGGACGCACTGCACTAGTGATAGCTGCTAATGAGGGCCATGTGGAACCAGTCAAAATCTTGCTCAGGTATTGTCACTCTGGCTAATACTAAAAATTATACATATGTAAATAATTAATCAATAAATATTATAATGATCATAGCATTCATCTATATTAATTTAGTTGCATGGTATCAAATACCTTTGCATGCAAAATTACACCACTAATTTGCTATCGTGGTATTGTGGAATGTAGATACGGAGCGGATGCCAGTATTGGCGATGTTGGTGGCTACATTGCATTGTGGCATGCTGTGGAGAACATGCATCTGGAGGTTGTGGAGACCATGCTTCAGTTTTCTAAGTGTCTTACTGGCTTTGCCCCAACGGGCCCTTCCAGCTGGTCCGCCCAACACCCTACTCGTCTATACAGGCCACAATCGCTATGACCAATTGAGAGGTACATCGCTGTTAATATCGTGTCAAGCGATGCAGTTGTTGACACCAGAATGTGTGTAAATCATTTCAGGTGAGAACCCCCGAGATACCGAATTTAATTCGTTCCAAGAGATTTTGTTTTGTTATCTCGAAAATTACCGTATCTCAAAACCCTATATAGGACAATACAGCAATATACATACGAGCAAAGTGCAATTCAATGAGAGCACAACCACATTCTGTTAGTCACGTACTTAAACTGACTCAGCGAAAGAGCGCGCGCTAGGCTTATGCTCCGATTTGGCTGATTCGTAAGACGTTCGTATGTTGTATTTTATTCGTTTTGTCGAATACATTTACATTCAACGAGAGGTCATTCGTATCTCGAAAATTTGTATGTTGAGCCGTTCGTATCTCGAGGGTCCACTGTAGTTTGTAAGCTATGTGTTTTGCCATATATTTAGATTAATCAGTAATTTAGAATCTTGTCTAAACTTCTTTCTCGATTCATCAGGCTGCAGATGGTTTGTGATAGATGATAATAGAATAATTGATGGTAAAGAAGCAATCCACAAAGGCTGTTACGTGTGCCTAGTTTACTCAAAGCACAAACTGTTATGGCTTTCTGGTGTAACGTTAGCCATTTAATACAGGAGACAGTTGGAGATCGTCACACCGAAGCTGTTCAGGTGTTCGATGGTCGGCGATGCAGAGTCGCTCTACTGCTTACTGGAAGACGGTGACAACGTGAACCCTCGCAGTGGGGTCGGCGACTGGCCCATGTACCTCGCTGCTGAAAATGGCCACATCGAAGTCATGAAACTACTCTACGAGGTCAGGCTAACCTCCAGACTGACGTAATGAGACCGTATTCACACGATCTGCCACTATCATAAGAAAACGCGTACTTACTCTTACTCAGTTTGTGAAGTTATGTAAGCGTGTTGCTTATTGTCATCTTTGCGTGTGTATTTGTTGCTGCGCAGCGAGGGGGCGATGTTGCGTCTGCGCATGCGTCTACGCGATGCACTCCGCTGCACGTCGCATGCGCACGCGGCCACCTGGAGGTTGTACGCTACATGCTGCAGCTGTACGGTGACAGCCGCCGCGGAAGCCAGGTGACTCACCATCAGGGCCACGCCCGTGAGCTCAACATCAATGCCAGGAACAGCCAGGGTTTCACCGCAATGCAGCTGGCTGCAGAAAAAGGTACCTTGCGAGAGCACGCGCGCAGGCTTGCTTGCATGCCTCTGAATCAGTTGTTACAAAGAGACTTTAGAATTGTGGGTGGTCGAGTAACAGTAACCCTTTGTAAAAATGGCATGTCTGTTGTCAAGGTAGAGTCTAGAGGATCTTGTATGATAATGTATTTGTTTTGCGATATATAATATTACGATGGCTCTTTGCGCTGTATGTGACATAGTTTATACATGTAAATAATGAAAATTATGTATTATTACCTGTGCAGTAATTAACAGCATTCTTGTCACCACTCCCGGGTGCGAATTTTTATCTCTGCAGCGTTATGAGTTCAGATTTTCTCAGTGTGCGAAACGACTCACACTGTCTACTAGACATGTGCATTGCGACCAGACTTTATTTTGCGTAGTTGATCTTTGTGTGTTGCTGGGCTTCTTGATTTGGGCAGAGATGTTACGTAGACCATGGCAGACAGTCGTTAATTACTCTAGGTCACTATAATTTCTTATTGTTTAGGAAGGGATTAAACTTTTAAAATGAAATTTTTATACTTCACTAATTTCGTATTATGGTTGTTATCATGAAATCCAATACCATCATTATACAATGTCCGGCTGTATGTGTAATATCTGTAAGAGATAGACGGACATTCTTAGCATAAATGATCCTGGAATTGTCAGAACGTTTTTTCGTCCGCAATATAAATTAATTGTATATATATTTACGTGTCACCTGATCAATGGTAACCTTCCAGGTTACAGCAAGATAGTGAAGCCTCTGCTTGTGGCAGGTACAACGACAGCTCTTTTAGATCGATCGGGAAATCTGTATGCTTGTAACGAGTATCAAGGCGTACAGGTAAGTTATATCAACTCCTAACTCTGGCAGGGTATAGCCAGCATACTGGGTGACACTTTGCTCTCACCTTGCTCCTGCCCTTAAATACGTTCTTCCATAGCGATCTTTTCCACTCACGTATCTCATTAACCTAGCCTGGGGTCTGTCGCAATGTCGTGTTCTATGTTTAAACAACGTGTTACATCTATGTATGCTATAATGTGAATGTAGTCGTACTGTAACTGCCCACATTAGACGATGATATGAGACTGGGCGTACAGTGAGTGCATGGTCGCATGTCCGGCCCATGACCACACGAACACGATCTAACTGGGACTAAAATCGGTCCTTGAGACCGAATGTCAGTGAGAATGCGGTTTCACGCTGCGTTGTCACTCGCCGTTGGCAGGTGCTGATTGAGACATTTCGAAAGAGGCACAGCGATGAAGTTATGAGCTGCATTCGTGACCGACAGGCTCTGCGCCAGCTCAGCAGAATATGGCAGGTGAGTGCCATCAGGATGACCACTGACCAGTATATTGGAGGGACTGACCAGATATCAGTTGGTTACATCGTCTTCCATTAATATTTGTTTGAGACGTGGCCACTAAAATCTTTATGCCAGACCATCTCTCTGCTGGAGGCTGGCAAGCTAATTAAACGTATTGTCTTCAATTACAATAGTTGTGTGCTTTTGCATGTATCTTTCTTATATATATTCTATATTATATATATGTATTCTAACCTTCTTATGTATGTTTCGAACTACGGTTTTAACGTTGCCATTAGGCATGTTAGGGCCGTTCCATTTGGTGGTTAGATAGTTCAGTCGAGGATTTGGCGTTAGTCGTCATCGCGATGTTGCAGACGCGGTTTGACCACAACCTGCGAGACAGGAAGGGCGACACTCCACTAATGGTTGCGTGCGCAATGTCCTCGCTGGAGATCATCAAGTTTTTGTTGGGCAATGCCGTGTATGACGTCCGTGATGAGGATGGCAGTGATTTTTCCAGGTACCCATTTACAACGTTCGCTACTACCGTCGACGCCAGATTCAAAACTTGTGGTTATTTATCACTTCTCTTTATCAGCATGATTACCATGTGCAGGCAATTTTTCTAGCCATACTGTGTGTACTACTTATATGCTTATATGTTAATGTGATACTGTGGACACTGTATACTTGTGTGACACTGTTTATCAATATATCATTTTGCTATGAACTTACAAAAATATGAATTTAAATTATGACTGATAGATGGTATATCTACAATTAATATATTATTTAAGTAATAATATATATGGTAAATCTAACGTTAATGAATCCGATTGCTTTAAGTAGTAATTATTGATTTCATCTTTAGTTCTTTCTTAAAAAGTTAGGTGAAAGGCATAATTACAATTTGCACCTACTATAGTGTGTCAGCATGAATTGTTTGTTCCGCATTTCAGGAATAATTGCTTTTAACAAATGGTTAACCACTAGCAGGCAGTGATGTGTGCATCTTGGTCACCGACGCTTCCTATTTTAGCAGGACACTGTGGGAAGATGAAGACGAGGCTCTGTGTAGTGACTCCGGCATGGTGGTGGACGGCGGTCACACGCTCACCAGTCACTCCCCACACTGGCTGCACGCACGCCGCAGCGCGATCGTCGACGACGGCAGCTCGTCGGACAGCGGTCCCGACGCAACGTCGAAACCCGTGAAATCCTCCTTCCACGAGTCGCTGATCTATCGACCTGAGACGCGCGGCCGGCCCGACCCCGCCGCCGCGACGGACATGCCGGCGCGGTTTAGTCAGAGCACGAGGGGCTCGCGGTGCGGTTATAGGCCCACCGCGATTCCCGCCAACGTCAGGAAGGACTTCATGACGAGCACGCCCGAGTACAGCGGGCCCGCGCCCTCCAGGCTGCAGGTGCTGACGCAGGGTCTGCGAAACGTGAGCTTTCGCAGCAGCGACACGGACGAGGGTCCGCGCGATCACCGTGATCATTGCTCCACGGGCGGTGGCGGCGCCGGCGACGCGGATCCGCCCCGTCGAGCTCTCGCCGCGGAGACGGCGGGTCCGGCATCGAAGAACAAGCGACAGGAGTTCATGCTGTCGTTGCCCGTCAGCGTGGGATCGAATGCGCGAGGCCGTCGCGTCGTCTGCAGGGACTACGTTCCCGAGCGAGACAGACGCCCGGCGAGGCAACCGGCGGCTCGAGGAGCGGCCGTCGAGGCGTCGTGGATGTGGAACCCGAAGCAGTACCAGCCGAGGTTTTTCGTAGACGACAGCTTTAGCGATCGCGATGCCGCGGAGAATGTGGTGTGCAGGAGCCAGAGCACGGTGGCGAGGAGTGCGATGTACAATCTATCCGGCTACTTCCCCAACATCAGCCATCTGAACTCCTCAATATTCTGTAGAGGTGAGACTTCTAAGCAACTAATAAGAGCACATCAGATGTTCCTAGTGTCAGTATTGATGGGACCCTACTGACTGGTTAGAGTCATTATGTGTAATGTGGAAATATATATAGTTATGTGTGACTTTGAGTTCACTAACTATTGCTTATACACATTAGCTGCAATGTATATAACCGGTATAATATTATCAATTTATATTTAACCAGGACAGGTAGTAGTAGTAGTAGTAGTCTTGATAGTAGTACATATTAGTTAGTCGTATATAAATGTGTGAGCGTAAACAGTGGTATTGTGTCGTGTTAGGAGATAGGATATCGCATGTGTGCGGAGCAAACCCGCGCGACGGCTGCACGCCGCTGCAACGCATGCTGGAGTACAGGGACTCAGTGCAGATCCTCAATGCGCTACTACAAGCAGACCCAAGCTGCGTCAACATTCAGAACAAGGAAGGCTTGACAGCACTGCATATGGCTTGCAGACTCGACCGCAAGCGGGTCACCGAAAAACTTACAGTACGTGGACACCATCATCAACTTGTCCACTCCAACAACGTAGTGTCTTCGTTTACCTCGTGTGCAGAAACGTGTGGCTGAGACAGATGCAATCAGACCCCGATCCGAATAACCTGGTGTTTTAGATTATTTTTTAATGACTAGCAGAAATGAAATTAGATAATTTTTGTGATTTTACTCTCATCTAAAAAATTAAACATATTTTCCCATTCATACAGTCACTTCCATACATTGACCTCAATCTAAGAACTCTTGACGGCAAGCTTCCAGAGGAAATGACCAACAATAAGGGTATGATTAGACTCGTACGAAAAGCTAGAGAAATGGACTCGGACCTCATGTCGTCGTAAGTATATTATTAACGGTATTCATGGTAGGCTTTCATATTGATGTTTAGAGTGATCCTTTTGAATTGAATTTGTAGCAAGCTCGTAATAACTTGCTGTAAACTGCGGTGAGTTTCCAAGCAAATCTTCAACAGAAATTCTCGTGTAATGTCTATGTCAACGTTATAGTCTCTGTAAATGATTTTACACACGAAGTTGTAACGCATTCCGGCATCTAGTGCATGGTGGCATCGCGATTTCATGCATTGTAATTCTCTTTTCGCTGCAGGCTCCCCTCACCCTCTCCCTCTGTGTCAGCCAGCACTGTGGGTGGGTCAAGCATCGACTTTGAGAAGTTGAACAACAGATTCGTTGCTCTTAAGAAGTCTCTACAAAAGAAGTGACAGTTTGTCATTCTGATCATTCGAGATGTGTTTGCAGCCTATCCTGAAGCAGAGGGAATATATGACATGTATATAGCATTCCCACTACCGCTAGTGCTGCCAAGACCATTCCTTATGTTCAGTGGCACTGCATGAAGGTTTGTGTTAATATATAGGCCTTAATAGGGTCAGTGAAGTTATCTCCCAGTTCCCAGTTCCTTATTCGAATAAGGAACTATAATAACTAGGCAAAGCAGTTACCAGTTCCTTATTCGAATAAGGAACTAGTAACTAGGCAAATCAGTTACCAGTTCCCAGTTTCCAGTTATTTATTCGAATAAGGAACTAGTAACTAGGCAAAGCAGTTATCAGTTCCCAGTTCAAAATGCAACATTGAATTGGGATATAGTAACTAGGCAAAATAGTTACTAGTTACTTATTCGGCCAAATTAACCCTTTGGCACACATTTATTCGAACTGGTAATTCGAACTGCATGGTAACTGAATAAGTACCTGGGTATCAAACTGGTAACTGATTAAATAAATGTGTGCCAAAGGGTTAATTTGGCCGAATAAGTAACTAGTAACTATTTTGCCTAGTTACCAGTTCCCAATTCAATGTTGCATTTTGAACTGGGAACTGGTAACTGCTTTGCCTAGTTACTAGTTCCTTATTCGAAAAAGGAACTGTGAACTGGGAACTGGTAACTGCTTTGCCTAGTTACTAGTTCCTTATTCGAATAAGGAACTGGGAAGTGGGAACTGGTAACTGCTTTGCCTAGTTATTAGTTCCTTATTCGAATAAAGAACTGGGAACTGGGAACCGGGAGCTAACTTCACTGAGCTGACTTAATAGGCCCTATGCAGATAACTGCTACTACAACTACAAGGGAATCTATCTGCATTTACGTTCGAAGGTAATGTTGTGGACCAATCATATGTGATATTTTTTTGAGTTATTGAAAGATTAAGAGAAGGTCAAGGTTTCAAGGGTGTGCATGTGTACTTATAGTGGAGCAAATTTAATTTGCTTAACCTACACGGTTTTTATGCTAAAGAAGGGCTGTTCCCATTAGCATTTACAACCTAGCATGTTGTACCTCATGTTGGTTAGATAGGTTCATGGTCATCTTTACTATGGAAATATACGAGGAACAAGTCCAATGCCTACAGTAAGAGGGGTAAAAATTATCAAGGTTAGTGAGGCCCGTAATGTTCAGGGAGACGTGATCCAGGATACGCGTCCATGAAGGGTGTAGCAGTGTAGTATAACAGTAGCAGTGTAGTATAACAGTAGCAGTGTAGTATAACAGTAGCAGTGTAGTATAACAGTAGCAGTGTAGTATAACAGTAGCAGTGTAGTATAACAGTAGCAGTGTA